GAGGGGAGTGAGAGGATGGAAGAGAGTGTGGGATAGGAAGGTGACGGACATTATTACCCTGTAGACATGTATGATTTTATGACTGGTGTGACTCTGCACCATGTACACCCAGAGGAATGAGAAGTTGTGCTCCATTTGTGTACAGTGTTTCAAAATGAATTCTATTGTCATGCATAATTAATTAGAACAAATTTTTAAAAATAAAAATATAAAACTTTAAAAAATGTAGGATTATAGGCAAATTATTTTCCTAATATTTTAGTTTGTTTCACCGTGCTGGGTTTTTATCCCAGGATCTACAGAATGCTAGGCAAGTGCTCTACCACTGTCACACACACATAGTGCTCCCCGTGTTTTTCTATCTAGGAAATATAAAAACTCTTAAAAGAAAAATATCACTCCAAAATTGATTCTTAGGATTTTTTAAATGAAGTAAAACATTATACATGAATAAGGCTATTTATTGCCATAGTGTTGTAATAGTGATGCATTAGAAATTATCTAAATATCCATTAGATAACATAAATGCTCTGTGGTATATTAATAATGTGAGACAATACTGCATCTAACACGCATAAATAAAGTAGATTTATATGCATTAAAATGGAAATGCTTAAAAAACAAATATTGAGTTAAAAGAAGTTGAATAATAGTACATACATTATTATACATCTACAAAAAGTATAATTTTGTTTAAATCATAAAATTATATGAAAAATTAACAAAAATATAGTTATACATATCTGTACACATACATCCACAGATAATATTAAGGCATGGACCAGAAAGAAACAAACCAGATTTAAGGTATTGATTATTTCCAGAGATTGAAGGAAGGTCAAATATTGAACGGAGTAAGACTACTTACAGGTTGATTTTTCTTTCTTTCTTTTATTCTTTCATTCATTCTAATACCAGGGATTGAACCCGGGGCCTGCTCATGTTAGGCAAGTGCTCTACCACTTCATTGCATCTCCACAACCCTTTTTCTTTTGAGATAGGTTATCTATAAGTTTGTTTATCTAAAAACCACTTCAGGCTTTTTAACAGTATATTTTCAATGTATATTAGTTGCTTGCCCAGGGTTCTTTTTTAAAAAAACAAAACAAACAAACAAACAAAAACCCCTTTATTTTATTTATTTATTTTTATGTGATGCTAATGATTGAACCCAGCACCTCCCACATGCTATGTAAACGCTCTACCATTGAGCCTCTACCATTGCTATTCTTTTTTTAAGAACCCCTGCCCTGGGTTCTTAAAAAAAAATAGCATCATACCTCATCAAATGTAGCCTTGAGTTTGCAGTCCTCCTGCTTCAGCCCAGCGAGCATCTGGTATTATAGACATGGGCCACCATTCCTGGTTCATTTTGTTTTTTCGCGAAATAAAAGTAATTACTTAAATATGACATAATGTTGTTGTTTTTAAGTCTAGTTGGTTGTTATAATGATGTTTGTTATATTATTCTTTATATTTTTTAAGTTTGTAATATGCTTTCTATATGTTTAATAATATGCTCAAAGATATAATAGTTTTACTTCTAGTAACAAACAGTGAGGAAAATCTTGTATATCAACATATAAGTATGTTCACTATGACCAAATGAAAATGGAAATAACTAAATATTACATGATTTATATATAGCTAGAAATCCTAAGAAATTTGACTTAAAAATCCTATTTAATAAAATATTTTACCTCAAACCAAAAACAAAAATAAATTCTATACTGATTATATGTCTAGATATAATGGGCCAAGCAATAAAACATGGAACAGTTTTGTGACCCTGTAGTACACAAAGATTTTTTTAAACAACACAAAATGCAGTAAACACAAACTAAAAATTGATAAATTGGGGAGTACTAAAACCAAGAGCCTCTGTTCCTTGAAACATACTATTGAATTAAAGGCAACTTTGAAAGGCAACATGAATTAAAAGGCAACTTTCAGAGTGAGAAAAGGTGTTTACATTATTTATGTCCAGCAAAGGATTAGTATTCAGAATATATTGAGAATAAATTTTAAAAAGGATAGTTGATTCTATAGAAAAATAAGCAAATCACTTTTGGAAGCTTATATCATTGTAGATCTTTTTTCTTTTCTAATATAAGTATTTAACATTTTGTGTTTCCATCTAAGTATTGGGTTAGCTGCACCTAACAATTTTTGAAATGTTCTTTTCATTTTTTATAAGTTCAGAGTATTTTCTAACTCCTTTTTGAGTCATCTTCATGAGATATATTTAAAAGTATTAATCAAAAAATTATTCCATGATAACATATTAAAATATGGTATAGAAGAATTCATTCAGGACTCTCACCATAGAATACATAGAATTTTACTGTAGTGGAGAGAGATTGATTGGGATTGACTCTGAACATTACATGAGCAAGTGAGAATTTACAGCCAGAGCAGGGTAAGAGTCAGTGGATGGAAAATTACCAAGGAAGCATCAGGGGACTCTGGCTAAATGGCCTTAACTGGAATCTTCATAAAGATAGACCAGGGATTCAGACATCATCTGGGGAATAGTGGAGGATGAGGTACACAGTCAGATATTGATGGTGATAAGATATTATGAGTAGAGACGTTGTTAGTAAAACTGACTTAGTGGGGTTGTTTGTTAAAACTTGATTTTATAAGGAAATGCACAGTTGGGTCTAAGAAGCTACAGGAACTTGACTATGTTTGCTCAAGCAGTCAATCTTTCTGAGAAGTAAGTTCTTTAATTTCCAATATTAGGGGATTTTCTAGACATCCTTCTGATATTGGTTTTTAATTTAATTATATTGAGGTTGTAGAAGATGCTTTGCACTATTTAGATGACTTTGTTTCATTTATAATTGATGTGTGATTTAGTATATTTGTCTTAACTTGGTGAATGTTCCACAGCACTTGAAAAGAAATCTTATCTTGCTATTCTTTGAGTGAAGTGTTTTAAAAAGTCAATAAGTTCAAGGATTTTGATAGTGTTTCTCAAATATTCTGAATCTTTATTGGGTTGAGATAAATTTTATTTGCTTTTCCTTTGAAGGAGCCATCTTACTTCGGTATTGTCCATAGTGTTATCTAAACAAATGAGGAACTTACTCCAAATCATCCTGTGTTGAATGTATATGTGTACTTATGTATGTGTTCCTCCTATCAATTGGTAATCTCAAATGGCATTTGCAGGTAAATGGATGGACCTGGCGAACAACATGCTAAATGAAATAAATCAGACTCAGAAGTCAGAGGTTGAATGTTTTGCCTCATATGGGAAAGCTAGAGAGAAAGGAAAACAAAAAGGAATAAAAAGGGGATATTATGAAAACAGAGGGAAGACAGACCAATGGTAGAGGAAGAAGATCAAGAGGGAGGGACCAGTGGAGGGCCTGTAGAAGTCCTGGGGGATGAAATATACCAAATTATGCTATGTCCATATATGGATATACCACAATGAATCCAAATTATCTATATAATTAAAACAAACTAATTAAAATAATAACAATAGAAGGGAGATCATCAGAATAGAGCAAGCAGAGTAGGAGTAGGGAGAAAGGGAAGGGAAGGGAAGGTACTAGGGATGAGATTGATCAAATTATATTATGTGCATATGTAAATATGGCATAATGAGTCCCACCATTAAGTATAATTATGTCACAATAAAATTTTTTAAAAACAAAAAAAATCTATGATCATAGGATCTAAAATTTTTTTAAACTCCTTATGTATATGTATTTATGTCTGTATGAACAAAAATGTGTAAGTTAACACATCAAACTATAAGATTCAATATTTTTTTGTAATTTGACTGTTTTATTTTTCTCTAACTTTATTTTTTAATTTCATTTTTTATTTATATATGACAGCAGAATGCATTATAATTCTTATTACATATATAGAGCACAATTTTTCATATCTCTGGTTGTATACATAGTATATTCACACCCATTTGTGTCTTCATACATTTACTTTGTGTAATAATGATCATCATATTCCACCATCATTAATTACCCCATGCCCCCTCTCTTTCTCTCCCACCCCTCTGCCCTGTCTAAAGTTCCTCTATTCTTCCCATGCTTCCTCTCCCTATCCCATTATGAATCAGCCTCTTTATATCAAAGAAAACATTTTATATTTGGTTTTTGGGGATTCACTTAGCATTGTCTTCTCCAACTCCATCCACTTACCTGCAAATGCCATGATTTTATTCTCTTTTATTCCTGAATAATATTTCATTGTGTATATATGCCACATTTTATTTTTATTTATTTATCTACTAGAGGGGGCATCTAGGTTGGTTCCACAGTTTAGCTATTGTGAATTTTGCTGCTATAAACATTGATGTGGCTGTGTCCCTGTAGTATGTTGTTTTTAAGTCCTTTGGATATAGACCAAGGAGAGGGACAGCTGGGTCAAATGGTGGTTCCATTCCCAGTTTTCCAAGAAATCTCCATACTGCTTTCCATATTGGCTACACCAATTTGCAGTCCCACCAGCGGTGTATGTGTGAACCTTTTTTCCCCACATCCTCGCCAACATTTATTATTGTTTATATGCATAATAGCTGCCATTCTGACTGGAGTGAGATCAAATCTTAGAGTGGTTTTGATTTGCGTTTCTCTAATTGCTGGTGATGATGAATTTTTTTATGTGTTTTTTGATTGATTGTACATCATCTTCTGAGAAGTCTAACACTGTTTAGTACTAGTTTACCTAGCATATCTTTGTATTAGAAAGTGGTTAAGCAGTTCAGTACATGATTTTTAAAAATTAGTCTCTACTTTAGGTATTTACCATCGATTAACTAAAGCATTTTGCTTTCTAGATTCTCATTAAAAATCAATTATAATTTTGAGGATGTTGATATGATTAATATATTTTTTGCTTTTATTTTACCATTTTCCATTTTATGTATTTTCAAATATATTTATTACATTTATTTGCTACAGATATTTGTTTGCATTCCTTAACATATATATTTATGTAATTATTCATTGCTTTAATTTTCATAGAATGAATCTTCAGGAAGAATTGGATGAACTTAAAGTACATATATCTATTGATAAGGCAACAATACAAGAATTGAATAGATGTATGGCAGAGAAAAGAGAAGGTACAATTTTTTCTCTGAAAATATTTAACAGAAGCATTGTTAAATTTCATAGTTCTTCATGTTTTAGTTTGTTTCTTCTAAAAAATCTACCCCTTTCTTTCTTTTTTACCACTTATGGATAACTCATTAACATTTTTCCTCTTATAAGAAAATCAGAGAGTGAATACTTAAAAATCCCACTGTGGTATGATTTTTAATTTATGAAAACTTTGTAGGAGAGATTTGATAAGGAGAAAAAGTACTCATTTTTACTGTTTATTGTTAAGATTTTCTTAGTTATGTTTATTTACTGTTCTGTAAAAGATGTGGGGTTAATATTTTCTAAATATTTTCACTTGACATTACATTTTTAAAAGATCGTTTAGATAGCATCTATTTTATTGTAATCAAAATCTAGATCTAGAATGAAACTTGGAAAACTTAACGAAACTTGGAAAATTTAAAATGTGCAATCTCTCTCACCAACAACCTAAAATTATTCTATAATATGAAATATGATCATTGCTCTGAATGTAAGATTATTCTTAATCAAGATAAAAGCATTAACTGGCTATGGTGGCACAGGCCTGCAATCCCATTGACTGGGGAGGCTGAGGTGGTAGGACTGAATATTCTAGGCCATGTAAGCAAGTTAGCAAGAAGCTCAGCAATTTTGCAAGATCCTTTATCAATATTTTAAAAATACATAAATAAAAATAACTGGGATTATATCTCAGTGATAAAGTACCCCATGGTTTAATTCTCAGTACCAAAGCAAATAAGTAAGTAAGTAAATAAATAAATAAATAAATAACAATATTTACCATACAAAGTCAGTAACTCATTAGAAAAAGTAAATAAGATTGATATGACAGGATTTATTATTATTTAATTTTCTGCAGTCTCATTATTTCCATTGTACTTTTGGTTGTTGACAGTTTATACTTAATAATTACTTTTCCTTTATCCTTCTTCTTGCTTTTGTCTCAATTCCTATTGTTCCACTTGCCCTTACTTAGGTCACTACTGACTTTTGAAAACCAGTATCTGAACCCTTCCGTTTTATATCTTTAAATTTCATTACATTTCAAGCTTACTTAATTTTTGTCTTCTGAAACATGCATTTTTCCTGCTCTTGTCTGTATCTTCTCTCTCTTTCACTGGGCTTTTTTCCATTTACTCTTGAAATACTGGTGTCTCCGAGGTATTATCTTTGGTTTACTTTTTGAAAAATAAAGACATTGGTTTTTTCTTTTTAATATTTTTTAGTTGTTGGTGGACCTTTATTTTATTCATTTATTTATATGCAGTACTGAGAATTGAACTCAGTGCCTCACACATGTGATGTACCCAGTCTACCATTGAGCCACAACCCCCAGCCCCCAACATTGTTTTTGAAAAAATATGCAGATATATATATTTAAGCATAAGAAAGGTTATAAAGAATAAAGCAAAGAAGAAACTCCTAGTTCTTAAACAATTATAAACAAAATTTTTAATATTATCAGCCATCCCTTAATGGTTATATAGAAATAGCTTACATAATAAATTAATTATTTAAAAAGAATTCCATAATTTATGTACTTTTTAAAAAAGGCTTAAAATTTTTAAATATTTATTTTTTAGTTGTAATTGGACACAAAACCTTCATTTTATTTATTTTTAATGTGGTGCTGAGGATCAAACCCAGGGCCTCTCATATGCTAGGTGAGTGTTCTACCACTGAGCCCACAACCCCAGCCCCCAAAAAGGCTTAAATTGATTATATTTATTTGGAATGAAATAGAAAGAAGCTGAGGTGAATTCAAATGAGAGTTGCCACAGTGGCACAAGGCTATAATCCTAGCTACTTGGAAGACTGAGATGGGAGAATCACAAGTTGATGGCCAGCATGAATAACTTAATGAGACGCTACCTCAAAATTTTAAAGAAATTTTAAAAAGGGCTGAAGATGTAGCTTAATGGTAGAGCACTTGTCTAGCATATGTATAGTGCTAGATTCAATTCCCAAGACTACTCACTTAAAAAGAGGTAAATGAACTTTAGATAAATATTTCATTGATTCAAGAGATAGTATAACTCCCTCTATGTTGAGCAAGAAAAGTTACAAAAATATAGAAGATACAACTACCATATATTTTTTAAAGTATTTCAGTTTTAGGAGTATTGTAAACACAGTGTCATTAACAGAGACTAAATGTGTTTATTTCATTCCACAGGGTCAGAATTTATTTAATAGCAATAAATTCACATACTACACACTACATTTATTGATGGCAGTTGACTGAATACTTGTGGGTTACCTGGTAGTCATAAACCAGACAATTACAGGTTCTTTAATTCCAGTCTTAATTTCCAATGTCTGCAACACTCAAATCACAGATTATACTTTGGACAAATATACACACATATACCCACACATAAAAAAATATATGCACACACACATATACATAAACATACATACATATATGTATAGAAAGACTAAGAAAGGGTTAAGGCAGCCACAGGGCTTTAGGAGGCTGAACTGAGAGCAAAAGCAGAAAGCAGATATGAATGCTGTTATTGTAGGTGGTTGATAAAATTCAGAACCAGCCAAAGAACTTGTTCAGGGTGCAGAGCTGTCAAAGTTCAGGAACTTAATTCTAAGTTCCAAGGTCCACATGGATGACAGCTTCAGAGTATCAGCTTGAGGTGTCACTTAGAAGTAGACTACAAGTGGTCATCAAGGGCAGCAGAAGCTGTACTCTGCTAAAGCCCAAGGACAAAGATTCCAAGGTTCATCATTGTGGAAATTTTCCTAGGAAAGGCTCTTGAAAATACCAGGTAACAGGGTCAGTGTGTTGCTGTGTCCAGTCTCAGGGTACTTCTCCTTTTATGGGCCTTGAGTGAAAGGGTTGCTTTATTTGATGGTCTGGTTTGATTAGCTCATAGACCTGATTTTTCCACTATGATTTTGATACATTCATGCAGGGCTTGTGAGTAATTCAGTAAATTCACAAATAGTCATCTTTATTAACACAATTAATTTATTTATCAGTTTGTGCCTTATGGTTTTGCTAGGCAGATGGTAGTTGTTTACTTGTATAAACAAGGTATAGAATCATTCTACCTCAGCACTTAAACTCAAAATGAACTAGCTGATGACAAACTATTGCTGTATGAAATGGAGTGACTCAGATTTAGGCACAGCCTGAAAACTGCTATTTTGTACATCATGGAATAACTCAGAACAGGGCATACCTGCTCTCTACAAGGGTCATTAAAATTAAAATATTGCTATGCAAGATAAACGCCAGTATTTTTACAAAAACATTTATCACAAGGGTCTCCCTTAATTGCTTACGCCCTCACCATTGCTGAGGTTGGCTTTGAACTCACGATCCTCTTGTCTCTGCTTCCTGAGCCACTGGGATTACAGGCACGTGCCTCCACACCTAGCTTAATGAATTATTTACACACACACACATATATGTATATGTATTTTTTTCTTGGTTAACCAGATATAATTGACTGTATTCTTTCCTTCAAGAAGGAATCACAACTGTTGTATTTCTTAGAGCCTATGTTTTTGAGAACATATTACAACTATCTTATTTTTAAGGGATAAATTTGGTATAATTTTATTGGACAATATCTTTTCCCTCCAGAACTTTCTCTACGTCATTTATTTTTTAAAACAGAACATTGTTATGGACATGTGTTAAGAAGGTACTGAGGTTGTATCATAAATATTGTCACCTTTATTATTTCTTTATTTATTTTGGTACTGGGAACTGAATCCAGGGGTACTTTATTACTGAACCATATTGCTGGTCCTTCTTACTTACTAATTCTTAAAATTTTGAGACAGGGTCTTGCTAAATTGCTAAGGTCTTTGCTAATTTGCAAGGTGACTTACTTTAGCCAAAGTTGTGTGGGTGGAAGTTACATTATGTCAGTACCAAAACCAAGCCTAAAAGGCTCTGTATGTATATATATACACTTGCACTTTTGTGGTCAAGAATCAGAAATGTGGAGAAACGAACTTAACTTTAACAGACTAGACTGAGCTGAACTAGATGACATGCGACACGCAACAGGAATAACTGTTTCAACCAACTCACATACCCATATGCAATAAATAGATGCTTATTTTATGAATGAGTTTTCCCATTTGCTTATTTCTTGTATTGTTTAATTGAAACACAGGCCCTCAATTTTTCAGTAATGAACACCATAAGTGATATTTATGAATATTCTTGGAGTTGTAAGAAAGATGGAGGAGTCTGTCTAGCTTCTGGCTAACTTGGATATGCACTTTTTCAGGCCTGACCATAGGTAATTACATAGACTTTAAATGGTGTGCCTTATAGGGGAAAGCTGCCCTCCTACAACCAGAATTGGCACATAGCCACTGTTCTGCAGTATCGAAAGGGAGTTACTTGGTCACTGAGCAAGTGCCCAAGACTCCCTGGCCAACATACTCTTATAAACATCTGTGTCCCTAGCCTATGTCCTTTCTCCATTTGGAAGCTGTTTTACTGGTTGCCCTTTGGCTGAGGGTTCCTCTGCACAGATCTACTTGGGAAGTAGAGAACTTGCAATAAACTTGAAAACACTTTTCCTCATTTTAAAGACCCAGTGTGGGAGCTGGGGTTGTGGCTCAGTGGTAGAGCACTCCTCTAGCACATGTGGGGCGCTGGGTTTGATCCTCAGCACCACATAAAAAAAAATAAATAAAATAAAGGCATTGTGACCAACTACAACTAAAAAATATATATTAAAAAAAAATCTGATTCTGTGCTTTTCGTCTCCTGGCTCTTGTCTTAGGCTCAAGGTACACAAAACTAGTGGAAGGAAACTTTTTTTTTTGGAGCTCACTTGATATTAAGACAACTCCCATGTCAGTGCTGATGAGAGAAAAATAGAATATGAAAGTAGGCACTTTCCCTTTTTCAGCCTCTTCCTTATAATATCTCAGTAAATAATTAAAGGCAAATATATAACTTTGATTTTGGCTTGTTGTCTTAGCTACTCAAACA